GTGCCCATAGACGCTTGTGACTAGAGCGTAAGAAAGGTACCTGGCATAGGCCCCAGATACTGGCCTTCTAGAATCGAAAAAGAAAAATATCCCAGTGCGACCCTACCTAGGAGTTGGAGCATCTAGGAAAGCAACATCTATATCTACACCGACAGCTACATCTACACCGACAGCTACATCTACATCCACATCTACACCTACACCTACATATACATCTACATCTACACTTTCGCATTGGTTGTGATTTAGCTTGTTGCATTGCCTTGCCTTTGCTTTTGCATCGCCATGCTATGATATGATATGATATGATAGTATATGATATGCTGCGCTATGCTGTTCTATGTTATGCTATGATATGCTAGGGTAAGCTAGGCTGCGCTATGTTATGCTAGGCTATGCTATGCTATGCTGCGCTATGCTGTGTGATCATATGATATGCTGCGCTGTGCTATGCTATGTTAGGCGATGGTATGACATGGTATGTTGCGCTATGCTATGTTATGCCATGATATGATACGCTGCGCTATGATATGATGTGATATGATACGCTATGCTGTGATATGATGTATTGCGCTATGATGTGTTATGATATGTTATGTTATGATATGATATGCTATGATATGTTATGCTATGATATGCGATGATATGCTGCGCTGTGCTATGCTAAGCTAAGCTATGATATGCCATGATATGCTATGCTGCGCTGTGCTATGCTATGATATGCTATGATATGCGATGCGATGCTATGCTATGCTGCGCTATGCTATGCTGCGCTATGCTATGCTATGGTATGCTATGATATGCGAATGCTGCGCTGCGCTAAGCTAAACTAAGCTGAGCTAAGCTACGCTACGCTAAGCTAAGCTAGGCTAGGCTAGGCTAGGTTAAGTTAAGCTAAGTTAAGCTAAGATCAGCTAAGCTAGGCTAGGCTAAGCTAAGCTAAGCTAAGCTAGGCTAAGCTAAGATGAGATAAGCAAAGCTAAGCTAAGGGGGCGCAACTGGGGGAACCCAGGGGGGCGCAACTGGGGGAACCGCCCGGGGCGAGCCCCACTGCCCGGCCCCTTTAAGCAAACAGAGTAAGAACCCTCGCAGAGCCTAGGTAGGGAACTACATAAACACAAACATGTGGCGCTCCGCGCGGATTTCTTGGATCTGCGCTGGACCTCCCGCCTTGGCGCGCGGAGCGCGCCAAGGGCGACGCCGGAGGCGCAGCCAGGGGGGCCCAGCGCGGATCCAAGAAATCCGCGTGGAGCGCCGAAAGTGTATGTTTATGCCATATTGTCTGCTTCGAGTAACGGCACCCATTGTGTCCATGGACGCTTGTGTCTAGAACGTAAGAGCGGTATCTGGCATAGGCCCCAGGTCCTGGCCTTCTAGAAGCGGGAGGGAGCTGAAAGGTTGCGGGAGGGAGGGAGGGAGGGAAAGAGGGAGGGAGGAGGCAACAAGTCCTCCTCCCCCTGCTCCTCTTCCTTCTCCTTCTCCTGCTCCTTCTCCTCCTCCTTCTCCTCCTCCTCCTCCTCCTCATCCTCCTCCTCCTCCTCCTCCTCCTCCTCCTCCCCCTCTCGGGGTGCCGGTCCCTGAGCCTCCGGAGCGGCGGCGGGAGGGAGGAGAGAGGGAGGGAGGGAGGGAGGAGAGAGGGAGAGAGGGGAGGGAGGGAGGGAGGGAGGGAGGGAGGGAGGGAGGGAGGGACCGTACGTGGACAGTAGATTCGAAGCCTGTGCCCCAAGAGGCCCCCCCCCCCGACCCCCCGAAATGGAATACTGATGGCGTGGCGAAGGAGGGGGCGTGATTGGACAGAAATTATCCAAACCCCCAAAGCACCGCCATTACTGAGATCAACATCGATGTCGGGGGCGGGGGGGTGATTCAGAAGTCCCCTCGAATGTGTAAGGGTTCGAATAGATTGTCCATCTACTGGAGGGGGGGGGAGGGAGGGGACGGAGGAGGTACGAGGGAGGGGGCACGAGCGGCCGGAGAGATGGGACCCAGGCTTGGGCGCGGCAGATACCCGCTGCGGTTCGGCCACGGCGTGGCACCTGCCAGGCAGAAGGTGTAGATGGGTAGAGGTCGAGAATGACTTGCTCGAAGACAGTCTTCGGGGCGCGGTGGGTTCCAGTGTCCACCGTGAGATGGGGATCGCTGTGTGAACATATATCTACATTTAGGTTTCATGGATATACATCTAGACATGCGTATACATATATATATATATATAAATACACACAAACATACATACATCTGTATGTATGTATGTTTGTCACCCCCTGCGTGGGAACACGCGCGATCCCCCCCTCGGAAGCGCAGGCGCAGGCGTCCAGGAGGAAGGAGGGAGGGAGGGAGGGAGCGGAGGGAGAGAGGGAGGGGCAGGAGGAGGATGAAGCGGAGGAGGAGGAGGAGGAGGAGGAGGAGGAGGAGGGAGGCGGGGAGGGGAGGGGGAACCGAGATTTCAGAGCGTTTCTGGCCCCTCGGGGGGGCCTTCTGGGGCCTCCAGGGACCTCCA